TTGATTGGCCAGCAACCAGACCTGACCTAACCCCCTAAGATAAGCTGAAGGCCTGTTATGACTGAACGCCTCAGCAAAGCCTCAGACCGATGGCCTCCATCATGTGGCAGACTGATGAAGCAATAGGAGCTCTGACCTGACATGAATATGCAGTACACCAACAAACACCCAGATGCCATTTCATTAAAAAAAAACAATATTTTTTTTGCTTTAAGCCTGATCTTCAAAATTAAATGAAAGTCTTAAAATATTCCACTGTGAGCATTAAAACCAGGTAATGAGTTTCACTGTAAAGTAAAAGCAGTAATAACTAGTAGATCTACTACAGTATATATAGGATTTTTAACGACTCCACAGAAACCATGGTTGAGGTTTTTCTTCCTAAAGAAAAGTCATGATTACATTGTAGGTCAATGGTTAAAAAAGAGCAACACAGGGAACATAATGACTCATTTTACTTGAGTTTGGATTTTCATTTGTTTCTTGGTGGAGGTTGGTGTACAGCACATAGGCATCTATATTGCTGTGGAGAAGCAGGAATAATAGGATATATAGAGCCAGAACAGTTTATTTTTTTTCTTAAGTTTTCAAATGAGAACTTCAAGTTAGGCTACATTAATTGGAGACGGGGGCACTCTGTACTGTACATTGTGTTATGAACGACGGTACCACCGAGCTGAAGAGATGGACCCAGGGTTGACTGATGAAGCAAAGCAAATGAGGGTGCTTTTTCCCTAAGCTTCTGAAAGCTCCATAAACTGGCTGTCTGCTCTGTTTCCTGTTTGTCCTGCCCTGATTAGCTTCCTCTGAGCTCATTTCACCCTGTTTAATTACATTCCTAATTAACACAATAAACTTCATGAAGGAATTTCATGTTAAAAGTTTTGGTATCTACTGTAACCTTTTACCTCAAAAGGTTTAACAGTGAGTTCTTAGTATTGATGTATTTATTTCTGTTTACTTCCTGTTCAGCCTCATGAGGTGTCTTTACTTGCCTCATTTTATCAGGAAGGTTTTTTTTTCTTTTTAGTGCAGGAGCAAGCAGTAATGCATACAACTGCTTAGATTTGAATTTGTGGTGTACAAGGTATATTTTTTCTTCTTAGAAAGCATTACATACATCTCTATTGTTACCAGTAGCCATTTATCCCGGTCTGGCGGTGGTCATTATGTTTAGGGCTGAAACAATTAATCAAATTAACCGATTATTGAAATAATCGTCATGTAATTTAGTAATCGATCAATTGTTAACTGGAGTATAGAGACTCTTAAACATGCCTTTAGCTGACAGAGACACCCACTTAGCACAGTAATTATACCAAGATTGCAAAATATTTTGCATTTTAAGATTCAAAAAAACTTTTTCGTTGATCAATAGGCTCTATCCAGAACTCCAAGTTGAAAAGTTTTAGCTTCACCTGGTTTGATTTCATAAAGTCTTCTTTAAAGAACTTCTGGCTATTTGATTATTAATCAATTGATCCAAAACTATGTTAGGCCTGATTAAATGTAAAGTCAAATAAAGAAATGGCTTGAATTAAAGAATGATAGATATACTGTAGATAGGTTTTTTAAGGCAGACGATGGTTTGACAGTAAAGAGGCTCTGATTTTTTATTTTTATTTTATATGATAAAAATGACACAAACGTTTCACGACTCATTTTGAACAAAACAAATAAAACATCTATAAAAAAATTAAGAAAAACATTTGCATGATGCAAAAATAAAAAAAATCAGCCAAAAATATCAGCCGGCCGATTCATTGAACTAGTAGAAGATTAAATGCAAACAGAACCATGTGGGTATCAAATCTGAGTCTTTTAAACCAAACTTCCTGATCTTAAATCAACACATTGAAACAGACACATTTTTTGTTCTTACTTAGTATCCTAATTGAAATTAGAGCTGAAGGAGTCATGAAGAACTCACTAATTCATTCCCTCTTTGCTTCTCTCCACCATTAAAGCACCTGATGGGGGTCAGCTGCTTTAACCAATATACGTCCAGCTGCCATTTAGAGCTGCAGGGCAAACATAGAACAGTGCTGCATCAAAGTGGAGGACGCTATCATAATAGACTCAGCAGTGACCTGGAGGGGTCTATCTACAGTGCGCTCTTTTGTGTGGTCACACCTAAAGCAGCAACCTTTGTCTTCTCCACATTAATCAGATTGATATTAATATTCATAAGCAGGCTGGTGGGCTGTGTCTGCAGACGGGGGGTTAACGAACACTTTGTCCGTGCACGCTGCGGTGTACATGTGCATGCATGTCGAAGATGCGGGGGGGCCGAGCTGTAATCAAATCACAACCTCCCCCTCATCTTCGCCCTCATCAACCACCAGTGGCGCCTCCTTGCGTACACACCAACGCGCCGCCCTGCGGGCTGCCACTGCAGTTCAGCACAGACGCCGCGGACAGCTGAAATGTGTCTGTGTGCTGAATAATAGTCGAGGGTTTTCCCTCTCACATAAAGAGGTCCGGACTCACGGCAATGCCGAGCACCAGGAGTACAAATAACTAACCATTATCTCTCATTAGCATCCGTGGCTAACACAGGGCCCACACTGTGTGGCAGAGGGCCCTCACGCTGGGACCACTCCTGTTTGATTGATGGTGAAACAGCACCGGCCGCAATAATGTGACCGAAAAAAAAAAAAGAAAGGGGCTAACGATACATCCACTGGATGAGGCGAGGTAATAAAATTGTAGCCAAACAAAAGGAAGTGGGGCTATCAAGAATGCCAGGCACAGCTCATTAATCTAGGAGAGCTGAAGCTGTTTGGAGGCCTGGAGATAAGTCCAATGACTGGCACGTCATGAAGATCGCAGAAGCTTGTCCTCTTTCAGCTGCTATCGCTTCATCAGCTGCTAAAACAAAAGAGATGAAATGAGAGAGCAGAATAAAGGAGATGGGGGGGGGGGGGGGTGGATCAAGGCTCGATATAGGTTCATGGCATCCAAACTTTCATTTAGTAACATAATATTAAACCACAACGACAAAGATATAATTCAAGCTTTTGTTTCGATCTTGATTTAGCCTCAAAAATATCCCTTGGAAATTGGAATAATCCAAATAAGAAAAAAACTACGAAAAGAATGTCATGGCACACAATTAAAAGTATGACTGCTAATTTAACAGTTACTCAGCAGTCGGTCCTTCACAATAAATCACTAAAGGTCGCTGTTAAAAAGGCTCATAGTTCACAGAATGGATTACTTAAGTTAATCATGAAAGGTTTAATGCAGGCATCCTGAAAGTTGGTCCTCGAGGGCCACTGTCCTGCAGGTTTTAGAGGTTTCCCTGCATTAGCACAGCTCAGTCTGATGATTGCAGTTCAGCAAAAGCCTGTTAATCAGTTTTCAATTCAAATCAGCTGTTCTGAAGCAAGGAAACCTCTAAAACCTACAGGACAGCGGCCCTCCAGGACCGACTTTAGGGATGTCTGGTTTAGTGGTGGTAGAATAAAAGTGCAGTAAAATGATTGCAAAACAAAAACAAAGCTGTGAGCCAATGATCAGATGTTGAGGACTAAGTTGAACTTTTAATTTACTGAAGTGAAGGTTTTTATTAACTTGAAAAACGTATTGAAAAAAGATTTGAATAAAAGCAAGAGAGCAACTTTATTGCCCTCGTTGGTATAAAAATCAATACAGAGCAGAATAAAAAAGAACACAACCTGTTTAATTCCCTTTGTAGCCTTCTGCTGCTGAACATTTCCCCCTGATCACCAAAGTTGCCAACAAATTACTTGTATTTAAACAGAAGTTATGCTTTTTTGGCATCTTTAATACTTTGCTGTTATAGAGAAACCAGCAGAGTCTTAGACTTAAAAGATGCTTCAGCAGGTTTGTAGAGGCTCTCAGCTTTTGGGAGCTGCCACTTTGCAGCACAGCTTGCATAAAGGCTTATCCACAGCTTTTCCTGTTAAGTCGTCTTTGCAGCAAAAACGCCAAACAATACTTTTGTCTTCCAGCTACGGAGGGTCACAAAGCCTCTTCTGTGGAGTTTTAAACTTGCAGCACCAGCTGAAGGTTTTGACTCTGAGCCATCACAGTTTAGGGGATTCTCTAAAAGGGACTGGGAGGACTGTGTCATTACAGTTGATGTATTGATTCTGATGAAAATAAGTCATCAAAAATTGAAAATATTTGCATCAAAGTGCATTATTATCAAACCCAAAACAGAGATGCACTTGCAACAACATACATAGGTTTAGTCAAAACTATAATCGCTTAAAAAAAAAGCAGATCCTAAACATGTGAGTCATGCCTCCCCATTGGTCTGAAAAATAAACAATCAAACCTCTGGCTCCACAGCACAAAGGGATAGTAATCCTACTGGAGCTGCATTATAGCAGAACATAAAGCTTTTATACATTTATTATTTAAATTTGTCCTCTGTTTTTCCTTTCCGCGTAACCCTATATAGTGTATACAATCTAAAGCTACAATCTGCAGCATTAAACAAAAATGGTATCCTGGAATTGCACGGGTCTATTGAATTTTCCTTTTCATTTGGCTTTCTTGTGACCGAGTGTTCATAATTCATTATTCATCTGGACTCCAAGCTTATGAATATGGATCGCAGGGAGTTTATTAGCACATCTCTGGAATATATTTTAATAAAATAGCAGAGAGGACCAAAATTACCTCACTGCCAAAATGAAACGTCAGTGAGAAAAGAAGCTCAGGGAGGGGGAAATCAGGAAATGAAATGCTTCTTTTTTTAATTCTTTTTTAACATCCTTACAAGTATTTCCAATAAAAGCAAGACTTGGATTACAAGTTCCATCTTTCTGCTGAGCTGAAACCAGAAATGAGGAGTCCATACAAATTTGCTGCAGGCTCTGAGCCCCTTCGCTAAAAAGATGCAGGATTTTACTCTTCAACAATAAAGCAGCATCACTTTCATCACAACAGCTACCATTTTGACAATAGTATCTCCATCCAGACTAAAATGTCTATCCATCAGCTGTCAAAACTGTTCTGCTCCTTACCTTTTCTCTGTCTTCCACCAGATCACCAAGCAGGTCGTCAATATCCAGGATACCTCCATCTTCGTACTCCAAGTGGTGAATATTAACAGGAACCTCCCCATGTTGCTGGGGGAAAAAAAATCATATCCAGATTACTCGAAGAAAACTTCAACAAACAAAAACAAGGTACTTTCTAGATAAACAAATGATTGGTCTGCCTTTAATGAAATATAAAGGGAGCAGAAAAGAAACATATTTCAAGATGTAAAATCCTGACAGTATTAAAAGGTTATCTTGGGGCTGTATTTTCACACAGATGGAGTATTTATTATAAATCCAGCAGGAAATGAAATGACTCAATTATTTCCATATATTCAAAAAAGCATATCTTTTTCTGACCCTTTATCTAATTTTCTTTACCACTATAATGTAACTAAGTGTGTGCGAGTGTGAGTTTGTGTTAACCAAATATTTCCGTATTTTAGTGTTTTGAATTTTTTTTTTTTTTATGGAAGAATCTGAAAGCCATTAGTCATTTTGACAGCTTAAAATTCACCCCCTGACCCCTCAGTAGGATATAGGGTAATAATACGCTTATTTAACCAGCTTTCCTCCGGCTGGATCAGAAAACCCCTCATTTGGTTAAATATTGACAGGTTTTAAAAGTTTCCCTGATGTTGTACTTCCCTGTCTCTGGTGTGGCGGCAGAGCATGCATTCAGCCTCCAGGACATAAAAACAATGACGAGAAGTCAAGACAAAAGCCTCTGCAGGAGTCCAAAATCATACATTTAATAACGCACAAGCAAATGAGGAATTCAGATCCAGGTGGAGCAGGAGGAATCTAATAGGGTTTTTGTCCAAGCAGAAAATAAATACTCATATTAATCTTGTTGATGTGAATTCAAATTAATGATTTATTTGGTTTAAATATTAACATTAAAAAGTAAGGTAAAGGGTAAAAGTAAGTTATGATGGATTTTTCTTTCTCTGCGTGTCAAAATTCTATGGAAAGGTCAAGCACAACCTCTGTTCTAGACTGAAAATAGTGGTCATGTCTAACTGAAAAAAAACTGTACAGGTCCAATGTGGTGATGAGGAAAAATTGAAAATAAATAATGCTGCAAGTAAAGCAACTTGAGACAAGAAATAAATATAATGTATTAGCATTTTAGCGGTTCCCAGACGTCTCTGAGGTTGTAACAGGAATCTTTTGGACCTCAAGAGACACTCTCCCAGTTTTGGGGGTCATACCCTCAACTTCTCCGATTACCACTGGGAACACTGAAACTTCAACTATCCTCAATGTCTCCATTTCCTCTTAAAGTTCCTGATATTTCTTCAACTTCTCTCATTTTGTCTTCTTTATGCTGGTGTCATCATGGATAATGTTATCCATCGCTACCTCCACTTTCTGTGGTTTGTCACCGGTTTGTTCAGGCTTTCCCTCCAAGTCAGGATAAGTTCAACCAGATATCAACCTTTTCATTCTTCACCCCTTTTGGCAAGCCTCTAGGACTCCTAACCTATACTTTCCATCTGCACCACAACCTCGAAAGTGCTCAAAATTCTCATTTAGCACCCATGAACTTGGTAACTTTGCATGCTTAATCCACAGGGGTTCATATGTCACCCACCCTATGCAGCTTCTTTCACTCTCCTGAGAAGGCTTTCCATGAGTTTAATGGATGTCTGTACAGGATATATATTTTATAGTTGCATTTCTAACGATCAGACACTGGTCTTTGGTAAGTAGGTCTCGCTCATAATCTCCACCATCATTCATCCCAGAAGGCATTTCATTTGTTTGAGGTAAGGACTCTATGCAGGCTAAACCATCTCCTACATGTCATGAAGGATCTTGTTTTGTGCATGTCTCCTACAGTTGAACAGGTAAGGGTTATTTAAAACAAAAAAGGAACACTACACTCTACCTGCATCACGCAGTGTTTACAGAGAACTGCATCTACAGTGGTTATGGCACAGGATGGCGGTGGATACGAACATTCGGGTTATTTTGTTGTTCCCTGGGAAGAGGGGGTACATTCCTGCCCAATCCAACAGACAGCAAAAAAAACTGTAGAAGGTTGAAGCTTTACCACACTGCAGTCAGAAATATGTTTACAGAATGACAATCAACAGAGAAGTTCATGAACAGAGTCAGCTTCTGCTTTTTTGTGAGCTGGTCTATAAAGGAAGAGGATGTTGTTTTGTTCTTTTAAATGTGGTGCGAAGAACTGATAGAAAGCAAAATGACAGAGGAGTCAATGTTGCCTTCATCAAATGGCTAGGAGAGGAAAAACCACGCTCAGATCAACCAAAGTGGCCATCTTCAGCTGGTAGATTAATACCCAGCAGTATTGTAGCAAAACTAAAATAAAACACAAGTTTTAGCTCAGCTTATTAGTTTCAAACAGCTCATTTATTACCACTCTCTGGATATTAAAAACATTATATGTTTACTTCCCTTTAACTGCGTCGAGCAATAACAAAAGGGGTTGTAGATAAAGTAGCACGCCTTGTTCGAAAAGGACTCAACATGTAGTATTTCTGCCCCGCCAGAAAAACAGGTCCAGTGACAGTCTGACTACATTCCTCCACTCCTAACAACAGTTAGTGTGTTGTAGCAGTACGTAAGCATAAGGCAACATGTGCAGCTCGGGTTTACACATAATCATTGGCGTGTAGAAACATTAAATCTGGTATTTTCTATGCATTTCTGCTTTTTTTTTTTAAGCAGAATGACAACAAAAACAATCTCATAATTTTTAAAAACAAGTATTACATTCAAAAATATTGATTTTATTGGGGTTGTTATTAAAATTAAACATAAAAGCAAACACATACAAACCTTTCCAGCCTACGGCAAAACAAAAGAACTTGCCAAACTTTCATTTTCTTAATCATTCTTAATGAACAGCTCAAATTTAACCTTAACAGCATTAAGCAGATATGTTTATGAAGTTTTCAGCCAAAGAGTAAGGCAGGAAGAGTTTTAATTGTGTTTCGGGATGGCAACATATCAAACAGCTAAAGTCTAGGAATGAGTGTGATTTTCGAGAAGAGGGACTTCACCAGATCACAGGATTAAAGCAGAAGATTAATGCCCAGGAGTTAATGAGGATCACCTCTGCAGGAGAGTTTAAGCAAACCCCTGATAAAGACTCGTTTCTCCATCTACCAGTGGATACATGACACTTTCCAGGCTAAATAAGCTGCATGGTGGAAAAAAAAAAAAAAAAAGTTCCTCTGAAGTTCCTCAGAGTGAATCCCTTGTAAATCCTTTACTATCCTTATAAAACAAACAACAAAAGGAGCTAAGATTCAGTCGAGCACAGAGGAGAATTACCGTGACGGTTAGAAGAGTAAACTCCCTGCAAATTACACTCTTAAGTCGCCCCAATCATTTAAAAGAAATAGCTCTCCTTCCTCTCCCACTCTCCCACCCACCGCTCATTCTGGCGAGTGAAAACGCGTCATTCCCCGAGAGAACGGTGAAGCGCTGGAGCGATTAGTGGAGCTAAATTCTGTGAAGCGGCGGTGCTATTTCACACTTTGATCCTCAGAAGAATGTGTCATTATGAAGCTGTAAGACTGCGGTGTGGGTTTAGCTGTGATAAAAAAAATAAATAATTCCTGTAACGAATATGGCGAAGAGGACTGGATCTCAAGTTGGACAATTTGATGGTTGTGTGTTCAAAGAGAGAGGAAAAAACTGAGCTAATGAAAAGATTGCAGTTTGTGACGGTGTGATAAGCCCAACTTAGATTAAGATTATTATGACCTCCAGTTACCCCAGCTACTCCTGTAGATTATATGATATTTTCTTTGGTATTTTAAAACTGTATGTTAATTAACCTGGAGGTGAAAACCCACTGCATTGCTCATGGGTATCAGGAAGTATAAACCATTATCAGCAGACAGAAGAATAGTGCCATCTCCACAAAAAAAAAAAAAAAACTATCTGCGTGAACACATCTGAAAGCCGATACAAGCATGCAGAGAACAAACAGCAGACCGGAACGATTACATTAAACAACAAAAATGCATTCCACATAGCTGAGTGTTGACTAACAAACCCCACAACCTTCGACAACTGATCTCGTTCAGATTAGAGGAGGGAAAAAGGCTTTCAGCTTGTTCGACAGGACGTAACCTGCGAGTCGTGTGTTAGAGGGTCACAACTCTTTGGATTCTACTGACCTTTTAGGCAAAAAGTTTAATACAGTATAGTACCCTAAAGTCACTGAGGCAAGAGACGAAAAACGACAGAGAAATTAGAACATCCCAACACTTTTTCTATTCTTAAAATGGCAAAGAGATTAAAATATTAGAAAGGCATATCCCATTTAAAACTTCACACATTTAGTTTGGTGGTTCCTGACTGGTGAACCCTGGAGAGCTCAAAAAAGGCCCTCAGAGAAAAAAAAAATATAGAGGTTTCATTTATAATCAAACAGATTACTGTCAACAGGCCCAGATCTGACCGCCGAAGCAAGTTAATCAGAATGCAAGATGTGAAAGAGTCTCCATAAACCCTAACAATGTCATCTACCCCAGATATGCTATAAAAATATTTGCCTTTGCTCTCTGCGCAAAACCAGGACTAATGGAATAATGTTATTTAGATAGACAGCTTTTTAGCTGAATTATCTAGACAGTGGACACGTTTGGCACCAACAGAACAGCATTCTGGGAACATCACTTGGTGCCAACTGCGAGGCATAGAGGTGAAAATAGCATGCTTGGGGGTGCTTTGCTAAAGCAGAACCCGTTTATGTCACCATCAAATAATAAAACATGAATTATACCCTGAATCAGAAGGAACTAGATGGAAATATGAAGCCATGTGAAAAAGAATCTGAAACAGAAGTGGATCAATGTCAGTGAATGAAATAAAGCCACCAAGAATTCGCTGAAAATTAGGAGATGGACAATCCTGGGTCTTAATAACATGCCAGGAAACTAACCGAGCTTTTTACTGCTGAATTTTACAGTGATTCACACTGTAAATCTTAGCATCTTAGGACTGAATCTTTCCATCTAATACAGCAAAGCAATAACGTTAGAGAGCTATCACGATTCTGATAGTGTGCAAAAGTATTTCTTCACATCAGACTCTATAATAAGCTATATTTTTCAATTCTGTTATTTTTTTCCTTCTCGAAATTGCAGCTGAACAGAAACATGAGATGTAGCTGAGAACACGTTTAAATAAACCGCTAATTAGGACGGTCTACATGACACTGTGGGAATGCTCAGTGGGACTCTGCAGAATGCACACCAGTGATTATACGCAGGTTTTTTTCCCTCTCCTTTTCTGCTGTCAGCAAGTGGAGAAATCTGAAGTTAATGTCGGTGCTAAATGGGTTCTGCTAGCAGCTAATCTAGTCCCATCTATTTGGCCCTGGCTTTGAGAGCAGAGCTGGACACATGGATCTGCTGAGTCAGTGTCTTGCTTCGGCAGCTAATTAACATGCTTGGTGGAAAAAGCAATCAAGGCCCGGGCAGATTCTAATCACACGGTCGCATTTGGCCGTGCGCAGTGTGTGCACGGCAGCGTGTCGCACTCAGAGTCAACAGGGACCCTCTTTGCAAAGAGGGCTTGGCTGCTGCTGTCAGTGAAGCAAACACTCAACAGCTCAGGGGAGAAAATCACTAAGAGGGATGAGCTCTGTGGTGATCCAGGTGTTGGTGTGGCCATCTACGCATCCGTCAAGCCATTCAATCGCTCTTTCAATCCAAACCCTTCTCAGAACCAGAACCTCCCCCGAGGGAGGCAGTGTGGGCACACTGAGCGGGCACCAGCCAACCGATAAGAACGTGGGGCCTGTCACCAATCCTAATCCCCAATCACTCACAGGACAAAGCCTCCTGTCCACCGTGCACCTCTCCAGAGGTGGCCACATTGAAGACATCAAACAGTAAACTTCCACCTGCCTGCTGAGATATCAGGGCCTAGAGCGGGGGGGCTTTTGTACAAGTAGACAGCAGAGTCTGCAGCCAGAACACCCCACATCCACATAGAGACACATACTAGCATGCTATCACGCAAAGACAGCATGCACACAAGCTCCTGATTAATAAAAGACAAATGGTCAGACTGGCAGAATGATTAATGTAGGAGAGATCACAACATCAAGGAAACTGAAGAAGGGGTTGTCTGTCTTTGTGTGAATATAAACATATTATACAGGTTAGTAATAACACCATGGCACTTCTAATTCCCTCACAATTTTACTTTAAATTTGTGGAAAATGTTTCTACAGAGGATAGGCTTTAAAGAAACAAAAAAATGGCAAAGTAGAAGGAAGGAAAGAAGGAAGGTTACCAGGAGAAGAGGGGGGAAAGAAAGGAAGAATTGAAGCAAAGGAAGCAAGAAACAAGGAGGGGATAAAGTCTGAAAATATTCATATATTAGTGATCACTTTCTTTATACAGGCTTCTCTAGACTTGGAAAGTTTCCTGTAATAAATCTAAACTCTGCAGGAACCTCATGCTTAAAAAAAAAATCTTAATTAAATTTCACAACAAGGAGGAAAAAAAGGACAGATAAACCACATGCCCCATAACACTCCTAATCCCAATCAAAGGGAGAAGAAAAAAGGCTGTGCAGCAGTTAAACAAATGGTGGAGAGTGGGTGGAGAGCATTATGACTCACCTTGGAGTGGAACAAAGAGAAAAGAGGTTTAATGTAACTGATTATTTGTCTGGAAACTAACTAGAAACCCTCTGCATACTAAAGCCGCACAAAGATACACAGAAACTTGAGCACAAACCTCAAATTTCAGCACCGACTCAGAGACTTGTAATGATGTATGCCTTTAACTATTCATACTTTAACACTTCGCTCCATCATAAAAGCCACAACTTAAGAAAAACAACTAATTTTAAAATGCTTTCATGTAGTAACTGAGAGAAATACAATCTAAGGGCAAACAGTTTATACTTTTTGAAGCATATGGGAGTAAATCCAAAAATGCATTTTCTATATAAGCGGGAAAACAGTGACAGAAATGTGATAGATCTAGATCTGGACTCACTTTGGTATTTTATCTTCCTAAATACCTGTCACTTCTACCTGACAGTTGTATGTGAGAACAGAGGCGTAGCCAGAAAATCCTAATAGGGGTGGCCAGTCAATAACCAATGTACATTGAGGGGTGGCAAAAAGGCACCAGAACCTCAGGGTCAATTTATACTGTTCCAACAGAAACAACTACAACATCCATATTTCCTAAATAAAGACAAACTATACTTTTCTGCAGCCTTTGCTAACAAATAGATGCATACATTTAAACATTTATGCTGTGTAAATAAAAGTATATTGGACAAAATTCTTTCAGTTTTGAGTTCTGGGGCAAACATATTTTACATTGTCATTACCTACTTTTATGAATAATCATTCTGCAAAAAAAAAAGAATATCTAAATCTACTAATATCCACATTTAATGAATTTTTAAGTTATTATTAAAGTAGTTATTTATCTATTATTTCACTGAAGATGACTTGCAGAGGCACATAAGTTTATCTTTACCCCAAATTACTCAAAATTAGGTTCAGAAAAGAGCAAGAATTCTGTATCTATCATCTTTAATGTTAGTATATTGATGTGCATAATTAAGCACAGTGTTTCTGTTGTCAAGTAGTTGTTTATATATGAAAAATTTAAATGTTTAATAAGTTTAAACATTCCCCTTCAGAGTATTAGTGCTGCCACTGTCTGTGTTAGAGGGGTGATTGGCAAAGGGTGGCCATGACCAGCCCCGGCCCCTCAATCTAGCTCCGCCCCTGTGTGAGAAACACCTGAACCATTATAGAAAATTAAAATTTTGAGATTTGGAAAAACTTTGCAGCACAAATAAGAAAGTATGCTTATAAAACTAAAATCAAAATAAACTGAAAAATTTTTTTAAATTAAATAGTGCTTTAATAGAGTACCAGCTTAAAGGTGGACCCACATTTAGCAGTACATATTACCAAATTTTAAGTATTTAAATTCTGATACAGCTTGTGTCTGCCTTCAAGTCTAAATCATTTATGGATTACTATAATAGTTTTTTGACAAAACCTGATTTGCTCTTATTTGAGAAGGAATTCTCTAAGTTTGTTAAATGGCCGGTTTCACCAAAGGTTAAACAGACTCACTTTAAAATCTCGCAAAATATTTACCCAGTGGAAGAATTTTTGCACAAAAGCTTTAAATTTGATTTAATATGCTGTGCCTTTTGTGAATGTCCGGATCAATCCCTTAATCATCTTTTTTATTTTCCTGTCCCTTTTGTTTTAAACTATGGAGAGACATCAAAAACTTATTTTCCCTTCAAATTGAGGACATCAAAGTAATAACAATCACCCACCTGTTGTATTATGTTGATGACCTTGATAGTACAATTTCAGATATGGTTAATAATGTTTTCTTGCTTGTCAAATATCATATACATTGCTGTAAATGGAGAGGTTCTACTCCTTGTTTCTTTTGTTTAAATATTGCTCTATATTTATTCATTGGCCTTATAGTTTATGTATCGGTTCTTGTTTTTAGCCCCATGTTCTATTTTTTTTCTACCTATGTTGTAATGTTTGTACCTCGACGAGTTTGTACACTATTGGTTTGTTATATAAATAAAGTAAAAAAAAAAAATGGTAATACAATCTTTTTAAAATTCCCACTAAAATAATTAATTAATATTATTTTTACTGGTTTGAATTTTACTTTTAGAAAACAGTGAACTATAATTGGAATGTTACTAAATAGACTACATAAATTGACTTTATTTTCCTTATTTTTTAAAGTAACTCAGAAACCTAATCAAGGGTAGCAGCTAATGCTAGCTGATATTAGCTTAGCAGTTATGGATCATAACCGCAGCAGTTGGTGTGTCACGTGACCCACCCACCTAGGTTAGGTATGAGAGGCGTTTGTTACAAAATGAAAGGCACGGCAGGAATGAAATAGTGTTAATTAAGCTAAAACACGACTATAATTATCTATTTATATATAAAAAAGACATTAAATAAGTGTTTAAGTTTGTATTTCAAGAGGAAAAGAGCCTACCTTCTCTATAACTCTGCGGTATCTCCTGGTGGCTTGTTCGGTTAACTCCCGGACGGTCAATCCAGCTTTACAGGGAACCACCACAGCGGTGTCACCGAAAGTTACTGTAACTTTCATGCCAGCTTCGATTTAACAACTTTATTCCGAAAGAAAGGCAAAAAACCAAAACAACAGGATAAGAGAATAAATTAAATCCAAGTTTGACAGGAGCTGCCGCTGCTCCCCGTGTCAAAGGAAGGCACCTGTCCGTCGAAACCGGAGCAACAGGTGTCTCAGGTCGGAGTGAAATCACGATGAACGGAAGTTTCCTGACGTTACCTACTTATTCTGCTCAACAAAATCCCAGAAAACATTTTTTTTTTATAACTGAGTTTAAAGAAAGCGGCCTTTATGGCTGCAAAGGGGGAGTTTTTGTCATGCTGAGCCGACTGCTGATCCACCCAAACAAAACAAAGTGAGACTGGAAAAAACCCGGAAGAAATCACGGTAGCACTGGACAGGAAAGGAGAGCTTACGCGCCCTGACACGACCCTTAATTACCACAGATCCATGCAATATATCAGAGGATTATTGGAAAAATGTTGTTATTTCTGCAACCTAAGAGAAATATACGGAAGAGGATTAGAGCCATTGACAAAATAAAAAAGTTAACTGATTTTTAAATTTTATTTCAGTTTAATATGGGGGAAAAGTCAGAATTCTGAGATTCAAGTCAGAATTCTCACTTTAATCTCAGAATTCTGACTCTACTCTCAGAATTCTCACTCTAATCTCAGACTTCTGACTTTTTTCTCAGAATTCTTACTTTAATCTCAGAATTTTGACTCCAATCTCAGAATCCTGACTTTTTTCTCAGAGTTCTTACTTTAATCTCAGAATTCTCACTTTTTCTCTTACCCCAATCTTAGAATTCTGACTTTTTTCTCAGAATTCTGCCTCTAATCTCAGAATTCTGCCTCTAATCTCAGAATTCTGACTCTAATCTCAGAATTCTAACTTTTTTCTGAGAATTCTTACTTTAATCTCAATTTTCTGACTTTAATCTCAGAATTCTGACTGAATTCTGACAGCTAACAAACATGTTAGCATCAAAGCCATAGCCATGTCTGTTTTAGAGACTACCTCTCTTGTTTTAATCACCTTCTGCTCTTCCATTAATGAAAAAGCATCACCAGGGACCCCTCGGGTACATAAAAAAGTCGCCTAATTCCTTCATTTTTCCACCAATTTGTTACTGGCCCTCTCAAACAACTCACATCTTTGTCAGTGAAGTTGAGTGCTCTCACATGTCTTCCTTCATGTTACCCATCTACATTAAGATCCAAAATTCTGAGATTTAAGTCAGAATTCTGAGAAAAAAGTCAGAATTATGAGATTAAAGTCAGAATTCTGACTTTTTTCCCAGATTAAACTGAAATAATATTTAAAAATCTGTTTACTTTTTTTTTAGGTGCCCTAATCCTCTTCCGTAGAAATATCATTTATTAGTGTTAATTAATAGAATAGAATAGAATAGAATAGAATAGAATAGAATAGAATAGAATAGAATAGAATAGAAAATACATTTATTGTCCCACAATGGGGAAATTCTGGTTTTACAGCAGCAAAAAGACTGTAGAAAAAACTGGTCACACAAATGTGGACATTAGAAAAGTGTATAAGAATATTATAATAGTGAAGAGTTAAAAAATAGATAAACTACTGCACTGTAAAGTGTTTTAATAATATAAATACTGTGCAGCTGGACAGGGGCACCATATTGGGGGGAACAGTTAGGAAGATTCTAAGGGCCCTTGATTAAGGTGGGGCCCAAAAGAAGAAAAGATATGTTCCAATCCAGCAGTTAAATAAATAATGTTTGTGTTCTCCCTCATTTTTTAGCGGTAAACAGTGAAACAAAGCATGAATAAATTGACAATCCAAGTTTTTTTTATCCACCAGTTCATGCAGTTTAAAGTTAAGGTCTATTTAACTATTTTGGTATTCTGATAATTTTCCGTTGTAGAAATTTTTAACAGAAAAATGACATTTAAAATGTAAACAATACTCTTTTAGTGCATCTTATTAGCAGTTCTAAAGCTTCTATACATCTGAAATCAATGTCTTTCATGGGGCCTGGCAGTGTCCTTGCATGTTGGGAGTAAATAATCAATATACAGCTATGAACAATTTTACAGTAATGGATATTTGAAATAGCAGCAACATCAGAGATGTGCAAAATAACAGCAGCATGTTATTTAACTGACTAAGATAGAAACTGCAAAATCAGCATGAAAGTAACAACTGATTGAGGTTGTTGGGAACAGTGGTGGTTATAAAGTCTTCCAGCTGCTGGGAGGAAGGATCTGTGATTTTATGCTTAAAGCTACTGTGAAAACATCAGACAAATGAAAAGTATCTACTTAAATATTACTTTTACAAGTTTATTTTTAATACGACAAAACACAGTCTTATTAATGAACACTGTAAATATCTGTACATGGCTTCTTAACATTGTGATGTAAATATTAATAGAATATATTTCAAAATGTGTAATGTTAGTTTTATGTAAACATGAATCATGTGAATGTAAATAAAAACAAACTCATAAAGGATTATGATATAAATTCATAGAAGAAATCTTTATTTAGTTTCAGGACAATAGAAAATTGAATATTGAGAAATAAGGAACTTTATAATGATGAATTTTTGTTTTTTTATGTTTTTTTTAGTGGATCATCTTATTAACCTCTTTTAAATCCTTTCAATTTAAACAACTAACATGCTCAGGACTGCCCCAGTGCCTTGTGGGTACCTTTAAACAATTTCAGATTTGGTCACATAACAAGCACTAACTTGACACAGAAATACACATTATATATTAATATTAAGAAATGGCTTGTTTGCAAAAAAACAAAACAGTGTTGACCCCATTTTAATGTGATACCATTAATCTAGGAAATAAACTCCAGCTGTATGCAATATTATCTAAAAAGAAAAACAAATGTGGAAACCTATTTATCTGGTGGAGGCTGTGGGTGTATTGTAAATTGTTTTTGGATGTACAGGCTTTTTACAAGCTTTAAAAAAAAAAAAAAAAGCCCATACGCAAACCAACTCTAATCCTCTTGCCACTCTCTCCACACTCATCACAGATTCTAATTACCTCACCGTCCTCTCCGTCATTTCGGGTTGTTAGGTGGTGTTGTGAAATTGCTTTTATGGATATTAGCACCCTCTGACAGGATCCTGCGCCTCAGTCCCTGGCATTGTTTGGTTGTGCTCTCTGGGATTTCCTCCCCATCACAACAGAGAAAGCCACCGTTGCAAATGGATTGATAATGGGAAAAAGCGCTTTTTCCTTTGTTTTTATGTTTTTCCAACATCACCCAAATTTGCAGCACTTGGCCCTGAAGAGACCTGTACTGGCACTCCCCTTTTTATGCAAAGTAAATGAGGTGAATATGATGAAAAAATGAAGAAAATGGAACAAGTGATATAAAAAGGTGATATGTAATTAGTCAATCTTTTTAAAAAAAAGAAGAAAAAAATCTGCATACTTGTCTATAATCCTAGGACTATATTAGAGCTGAGTTTAGGAATGTTTTCTGCCCTCTTAAGGGTCCCTGACAGTTCCTGATTCATCATTTAGTGCAACTGTACTGTTGCCAGCATATGGATCCAGACTTGTTTCACTGCTGACTATGATGACATCCTCACTATGTTGTTGAAGACATAAGGAGATGCAAAAACAAAAACTGGTGAGTTTTATCTAAGAGACTGAACTTACAATCATTTTATTGATATAATAATGAAAATCAAGGCTGCAACACACAGAAAGGTTTTCTCAAAATAACTAATCTTGGTTCAAATCTCAAGTTTTACAATAGTAGAATAGAATAATCCTTTATTGTCCAAAAGTACATTGAAATTACGCTCAAACTGGCTCTGGATGAGTTTGCTTTTTCTCAATTTTTTTTACTTCTACCAGAAACATATTGTATTCAAGATGTTTTATTGATAGAGGAAGTCAAACAAATCCCTGTAGCAAACAAACATTAAAAATGAAAACCTCTTTAAATGTTAATGCTTTGTTACTTTTTTATTGCTTGAAGCTAAAAATACACCAAGCTTGATTATTTTATGCCTTTTTGTGTTGCACTCACATCTAGGCTTGATTGGATCCACTTTAAAGTGTTATTGAGAGGTAAAGTGAGGATGAACCTGATTCCCAGACTATGTTTAACAACTTAGAAACTAAAAAAACTACTTTGCATATAGTCTGAAATAACATTGATCCCATTCATTTAAATGTAGAAAATATTAAAAGAAAAAAATGAGACAATGTACAGGAACTATTTCATTGGGCTTCATGTACAGTAACATTAATAAATGAGATACCATTTAATTTTTATCAGGCTTACCTGATACATGTTTGTTTTTTATTCATAATTAACTTGTTTAATACTAACATTGTCATCTTAACTTAAAAACGTACTGATTAAAATGAGCTAAAATTCACATATGGTTATATAAGATGCTAAATTTAGCATCTTATATAACATCTGTATTGTTTTTTTTTGTAATTAGACTGAGAGACTTAGACAGATTTTATTTTGTCGTTTTGTACACACAAGAGTATACAAAAAGAACTTCTGTTTAGTACAGTTCTAGACTTTTTCATTTTTTTAAAGTACAGCCTTGATAAAGGTAAGCAGCACTGCCTACAAACATTGTGAAGAAAAAAAAACACTGTGGTGAAAAAAAAAGTGATGTAAACATATAACACTGACACAAGTACAGAGCAACAAAATAAGCTCCCTGGATTTAACCTCTCCCCTTGGGGAGCAGTGGGCTGCCATTGTGCAGCGCCTGGTGAACAGTGTGGAGTTAAGGGCCTTTATCAGCAACACAGAGTAGCAGTCTGTCGGAATGGGGCTCACACTCCGAACCTCAGGATTCCAAGGTCTATGCCCTAACCACTGGGCCGCCACTCCGACATTGTTAATAACTTACCAGCTAAAATTAACTACAATGCTGTTGTCAGTTATTGTGCTAAAATCTTACCATTACAAACACAGAACATACATTAAAAAAATGTAATTTTCCTTTGGGATTAATAAGGCATTGTTTGGGGAGGAAGGGGGCAACATGGCGTCAGGTGCTGGAGTTTGTCCTGCATTCGGAGGGTTGTCGGTTCAAGCCTCAGCTCCGGCTTTCAGTGTTGTTGTGTCCTTGGGTAAGACACTTCACCTGTATTGCCTACTGATGGTGGTCAGAGGGCCCAGTGGCACCAGTTTACGGCAGACTCTTTTCGTTCAGTGAGCTCCGTAGTAGCTGTGGCTACAAGTAAGTATAAGTAAGTATAAGCCATTTAAAGCAGGGGTCTATAACATTTTTCAGGCCAAGGACCCCCAAACTGATGGCGAGATGGAGCGGGGACCCCCTAATCATATATATATATATATTTTGCATGAAATTGTGTTATATAA